GTCTGCGTATTGATTCGGATTATTGTCAATACCATCCGGTAGAGTCGCATTAGCCAACAGTTCAATAATCTCAGAGAATAGCTCGTCATCTAGTTTGCTAAAGTTCCATCTTTTATGATCAGAAACATTACCTTTTTTAAATATACGTTCTTTAAAGGTAAAGACAATATACAAATGATCAGAGAGGGTTTCGACCTGTTCGAGCACCGACCAATCCTCAACACGGTCGACAATACCAGAGGAAACCCATGACAAATCCACGATAGATCCACCCTGTGATCTGACACACGTATATGCCGTCCCAGTATTAAGTAGGCGTAGATCGAGCATTGCCGACCATCTTGCAACTAATTCCCCACGCCTATTTGAGGTAGCGGAACCCCACAATGTCGAGTGCGCATTGAAATCACCACAAACAAAGAGTGGTTGGGTGGCAAGCCTACTTATGCTGTTGCTAAGATTATCTAGAGTACGACAGAAAATATCATTGTTTACATTGGGGGATACGTAACAAGAAGTCACACAGACATTCCCCATCTGTGCGATAACAAACCCATGACCACGCTCAAGAACTCTACAGCTTAGGTTGTTTAATCCCTCAGGCCTCCACAGGATAGCAGCAAGATCGTTCAAGCTCTTGAAATACGTATTACTCTCTTCGAGCCTGCTGGGGGGTTCAGCGACAATGGCAAGGCCAATGTCAGCTTCTACCATATATTGCCTAAGAAGATCCAAGGCTCCCCAGCTGCGATTGAGATTTATCTGTATGAATCTAACACTTTGCATCATGGATTTGACGATTGTGACCCTATTCTTGCCTTACTAGGCACTCTCTTTTTTAGGGATACAACACCACTAGGTATCCGTGATTTTTCGAGGCAACGTTGTGTGCCGATCCTATGCCTATGCTCCTTGCCGTCCTCTGCACAGATAAGGCATCTCAACACTCCGGTGTTACACACACCAGCCAAGTGTCCCACCTGACCACAGCGGAAACAAGTGCCCTTCCTGTCGATTTCTGCGGCACACCGTGACGCAACGTGTCCAAAGCGCCAACATTTATGGCACTGTATAGGGCGCTTTTTTAGGAGCTCTACTCTAACCCTAGTCCAACCAAGCGTCATCACACCATTTTCAGCGATTTTCACCGCGGTTTGCAGCGGGCAGGTTACCCAGGCAACCCCCATTCCGTCTCTCATATTAGATATGGTACTGACCTTGAATTCGTTGCGATGTGCACCACTGAGGGACTCCATTTCAAGGTAGATCTCCTCCTCGGTGGTCGAAGGATCAATGCCACGTATACGTAATTCTCCCATTGTGACAGGATTTTGTACCCTAGCATCTTGTCCCAGGACTTCTGCAAGATTGGATCTGAGGACGCTTGCCAATTGTTTTCCTTGCGGACCAGGGACTTCGATAACAATAGCACCACTAATTGCACGACGGATAACTGTGGTTTGTATGCCCAGATCCCTAAGACATACCTTTTCGCGAGCTTTAGCTAGAATTTGCGCGTACGTAAGGCCATCAGGCTTGCTATTATAGTAACAACGGCCGGTTTCAAGAATCTTTTACCAGGTTTGGCCGTTTCTCTCTTATCCGCTACACGACTTCGGGCATTAAAACCCGATCTGTTATCAGTCATTCTACGACCCCTTCCTGCCACCCTATTCCATTCCGTATCACCGGTAGGGGGGGGCAGGACTGGGGGTACTATCTGTATATTCTCAACTAACCTAATGCCCTTACTGCGCGGAGTAGATTGTGTTGCAGGGATAGTTTTATCTGCTTTTTTAACATAATTCTTAAGATTAGACTTAAGTTTGGACTTATGACTAAAATTAGCGTTATCATTATACATGTTAGTATCGCTATACGCATTAGGATCGCTGTACATATTAGGATCGCTGTATATATTATGTTCGCTGTACATATTAGGGTTTAAGTTCCTTCTATTCTTAGTTTTAGCGCTAGTTATCTCTTCTTTCCTGTGTTTGTCCTCTTCTTTGGTCCACGGGATCGACGCAGCTCCGCCTGGCCATTCTGTATCACGGTCCATGTATTCTCTATCCTTGGAGCAACCAGGAGTATCGCTTACTAGGGGCTCAACCTCCATATTGGATTCGACTACCTCCAGTCTCACAGGGGAGGCAGAATTCTTCTTCTCTTTTCTTTCTAATTTCTTCACCTCCAAAGGCGACGCTTTCACAGGCTTTACGCCTCCGTACGAGGAGGAGGCTCTAGGTGCCATCGCCGGAAATGGCCCAAATCCTTCCTTGAGCGACCTAATTTCGCGTTGTAGTTCGGTGATCATTTTTCGCAAGTTGTTTATCTCATTACTTTGAGACTGCTCTTTCCGTTTAATCTCCTCGAGCTCCTCTCTCAGTGCAAAGTTTTCATTTTTTAAAGAAAAGGCATCACCCGCACAAGTGAGCCTTTCAATCATTGCCTTTGTGATTTCGGCTGCTATTCGTTTGCTGTCCTTCATACGCCCAGCCACTCTTCCAGAGATGTTGCTACAGCGGCTTCTCTGGTTTTCAATTTCGTTCAGGTGATCAAGACACCTCGCGCCCAAGGCCGCGGGATCCATTTCTAACCAATTTTGTCTAGAGAATTGCAGTTCTCTTTCTGCTTCCTCCTTAGATACTGCGATCGGGATGGCAATTTTCCTTCTTGATTTCTGTCCCTGATCTTTATATGAACGTTCAGCCGCACTCTTTTTACCATCCTTCTTCTTGGCACTTTTATTAGCAGAATAGCCACTACTAACAATGTAACTATCAGAGCTATTAGCAGAAAATTCATGTGGGGTACCCTCAGACCTACGTGAAAGCGAGGTGTTACGTCCATCCGAACATCCAGAGAGTTTCCTCTGCCTCTCTACTACAGACTCGATGAATTCCTCCCTGAAAGCGGAGGAATCCCTCGAGACATTAAAATCTGCTTCATCCAATCGTTCATCAGTTTTATAGTCTTTAACCATACCGGACCTTCTGGATTTTTTATACTTAGATTCTTTAAGCTGAGAGAAGTCAGCCACTTTTTCAATCTTTTTTTGGCTTCCTCTCGTGACGCGCCTATTCGAGGGTATCTCTTCCTCATTCTCTGTATCTGTGTCTGTTTTAGAACACGATTTTCTACTATCAGAGCTAAGGTTTTTGGGCGACTCTACGGACTCCATTATCCGGGCTTTATTGGGCCGACGAGTAAACCTTTCTATAGAGTCCTCTGTCTCGCTGATTGGAGATGTAGAGGCCTTTCTTTTCTTTTCCTTGATATTCTGCACCACTGCCTCATCAGGTTGATTAACGTCCGGTGTTTCGTAGGTGCAAGCGACCACCTCCAACGGATTAATCTCAGCAGTAACTATTTGTTCTGCAGGGGCGCTAGCCGAGACCACCCCAACAGTGCCCTCGCATGATTCCCGTCCAAGGACGGTCGACCCAGCGGCGTCGGGCTCACCACTGTGCCGGTCTCTGGGAGATCCGAGTGCCCCCTGAGACGGTAAGTTTTCCTTGTCCTTTGTGAATTCCATGTTGTATATAGATTTTGGGGGCGTAATTCGAGCGCCCCCATCCCTAGAGCGATTGGGTGTTACTTGACCCAGGGTTCGCTCAACCCTACAGGAGTTACTAGATGTATAGAGCTCCGAATTTGATGACGCACCAAACTCAAATGAGGACAATATTTTATTGGAAGCGTCATCTATCTCTTGCTCGATCTCGAGGAGCGTGTTCTTTTTGTCCACTAGTCTACTACTAATGTCATGAAGTGCAGACTTGGAAAGATCAATTTCCTTTATCATACGTGTATCCAGTATAATTTCCAGCTCTTGGTCACTTTCTCTATTCGTAGGTTGCGAGCAGCTATCACGCCAGCTCCGAAAAGTCCCATCAATGTTGGTAGGTGGGGACTCTTCTGTAAGTGGAGACAAACCACGAAGTAGACTTAATTCTAAGCTATGATCGTGTTCTCGCACTTCCATCAACTTGATACGATGCAACAGATATTTCCGTGACATGTCCATCTGCTGGCCATAGTCGTACAATAACTTTACATAAGCAATTGTTGTACGAATATTATTGCGTAAACAAACATTATTCCCAGATACAGCGTATTTTTCTAAGGAGTACAAATTCCTGATAGCACAGGCAACAAGGTCTTCAGAGGAGATGTTGTCCTTAACGAGCCTATTCATAAGGTCTAGGATATTTATTATCTCCTCCATTGTTGGTTATACTAAATTTATTACAGTTAACAATTAATGCAGTAATAATCTATATTTAATTATTTATTCTATTAGTAGCAATTACCTAAGCCTAGTAAACTAGAATAGTTATTTCTTAAAGGTATTTGAAAATATGTATAATTTAGTAACATAGAACTATTTAACTTAAACTATCTTATAATAGCTATATATCAGCATAACAATTAATAATAAATGCGGACAAAGCTCGGTTTACCTATACTTTCTATTATAGAATAGAACAAAATAAGTTATTTCTCGATGAGAAAGTTTATTGGATCGAGGATAAACCAATTCGCGCAATGCGCATGCGATACTAACTTATAAAAATTACTGCGCAGCCAGAACTAAAAATTAATCTTACTATCCCAGGGGGGAGGTCAAGTAGATACTATTGCACTTGACGCGCATCCCCTGTCATAAGTATACATCAACTGCGCAGCGAATGAAAAACGCATTTCCGGTCTTCAGTTTACAGCTCGATAGCGATTGGTAATCACTACAAGGTGACTCACGCACGCGAGTTACGCTTGCTTCTGACAGAAATTATCAAAAACAAATATTCTGTAATTAACAACAATTAGAACTCATAACAATGCATAAACATTAGTAACAATGTATAAGAATAATATGAAAATGTAACTACATGCTATTACTGATAATATTAATATTATATTGATGAACAGATATATTATTAACTAAAAATTATTATTAACTAATTATCATCCATTGTTAAGTAATTTAGACAATGTTCAAGCAATAATTACATTCTTATTCGGCTTAACCGAATTAACTTGGACACCTTTCATGTGTATAGGAGCCTAAGCTTTTCGTCTAGTAATATTTTCTAAGTCGCTCATCTATACTCTGCATAGTATCTGGCCAGCTGTCACAATATACACACCGCGTGTTTAAGAATCGCTTATATTTTTACTTATATTTAGACAACAGCATTCCAGAGGGAAATTAGTAATTGTTTACCCTTTTACAGATGCAGGTTAACAAGCATACCAGATGACAATAAGGACGGCAACGTCCAACACACGTGTGATTGAGGTTGAACGATCCGATGTCTTTACATTAATTACTGTGGGTAAATCCGCTCAATATTCACAAGGAAGAGCATATTATTCTTCTTAGATCGCAACACAGGTATTGATGTATCGAATAATGTATCAAGTAGGTACTAATGTATTCATAACCTATACTTGTACCAAAAGAGGTACATACTAACGCCATTCCAATTAATAGATAGAAATTATACAATACATTTTATCAGGTTGTCGTTCCCTGTTTATAGGCTAAGAAGATTTCCGTTGTTATATTAAGAATTTAACTACTACCACAACGTATACGATACACCTCGTACGTGCGTATATAAGATCGAGATCGTCCAATCTGCATATGTAATTATCAATAAAAGGGGTAAGCAAGGTGAATCCATACAAATTAACAATGCATTAGATTCATTTACTTGTAATATCCGTATAATTATACAGTAAAGTCACTAGACTGTTTTAGTATAAGAAAACATACTCGTAGATGTTTCTTAAGTAAGAATACTTTCAATTTTAGATATTATATCCGTGGGTTATACTCTCAACAATACAGAGCAACTGCTCGCAGCTCATCTGACGTGGCAAAAGGATGTCACGATAATTCACCTGTCTTACATCTGTCGCAATCATTCAATGGAACAACAGCAACCATATACCGATTACATGGTACACTTCATGCTGTATCTATTTATAGTTTATATCCTCATAAATTCAGGTTCTATATTCAACTGCGATAAGCATACATTCATATAAACATATATTTATACATCTATACGAAGTTCCAATTTAAACATAAAAATGATTATACCGGGAGTGCAACAGATGCAACTACAGGCGTAGATGTACATCCGTTTTAATATTATAATTATAACAAAAGAGAAAGAAGCAATGTTCAAGCAACTCGATATTAAAATATCTTCTGAGTAATACTATTTACGAACCAATAGTGTGTTATTCAGTAATATTATATTAGTAATATTATATTTAATACTATTTAATAGTATTATATTCAGTCTTATAAATTCAATTTCTGACTCAGTTACTATCAAACGTATATTAATGTCAGTGTGTAATTGCACAAGGTTCCAAATATCATTATACCAGTGAGACAGTAGATACAACTATTCAGCACAGCCGTACCTGCGCCTCACAAATCACAATTATATTCTTCTTTAGCACAATATTAATAACATCCAATTAATGTCACTTATAATTGTATGTCAATTTAACTCCAAATAATAACGCTTTCTATTTTTAGGTATTATACCTTTAAGGCAATACACTCAACAGTTCAATGCACCTGCTTGCAGCAGAACCGTGACAAGATGAATGTCAGTAGCTTGCATCAAGCTCTCGTGCAATAGAAGAACAACAACCAAATATTATTTATATAACTCCAACATTATGTAAAGTGTCCATATAATTTAAATCTTTAAGGATTCAATCTCTGCACTTAATAAGTATAATTACATATCAATATCAATGCATATTCATACACAGTTCTAATTTAAGTATTATCATCCGGTGAAGTAATAAATACACTGTTCAAAGCAGATATACATGCGTTTCATGAATTATGTCATAGAAACATAGAAAGCAGCAATCTACCCTAATTCAGTATTCAGTAACATCAATTAGTGCTATTTATAGTTCATGTTAGTTAGTATTACTATATTAAACAATATTATATTTGATATTGTGTTTCTTTTAGGTATACACCATATAACTATACTCTCCTCAGTACGATGCACCCTTGCGCAGCTTGCCAATAGCAACGAGCAAGTGACACAGCAATACACAGTGAACACAAGGCAACAACCAAGTATCACCTACGTGATTCATTCAACACAAATGCATCCGTTTCATGAATTATAATAATTATTACGGAAAGAAGAGGAAACCTGAATTATATCTGCATCCTAGCATGTAGTACAGCAGTACAAAACTGCTATACAATTAGCTAATCTATTAATATATCTAGAATCTTAACTAAGTTCCTTATCATTAATTATACTATTTTCTATTGAATTAAGATTAAGAGCTCGCTATTGCGACATAAATTATACAACTCACTTGCTCACAGATTGAGTCAAAATCAACTATTCTGCGTGTGATACTATCCGTAAAGTGGTACAAAATGTATCTATACTATTAATTATAATCAATTAGATTCAAATTAATTCATAATTTAAGTATATGTTCTTAAATGTTTCAACTACACCACTTTCTATTTATCTTTTAGATATGCTACCATATAATTGTACGCTAATCAGTACAGTGCATCTTGTGCAGCTCCCAACAGCAACAAGCGAGTGTCGCAGTAGTTCACAGGGAACAGCGAGGCAACAACAGCCAAGTATCACCTACGTGATTTTTACAACACAAGTGCATCCGTTTCATGGATTATATCACAGGAATCTATCATTCATTAGTTGAGATATAATGAAAACTTATGTTATATAACCATTAACGGTTAAATATTCAACAAAATAACTCAATTATTAATTAGCTAGTTAGCAGTAACAATACTATAATTTCAATTTAAAACAACACTATGCTAATGATTTATGTGCAATTTACACTAAGTATATATTGCTTACTTGAAAACCTTAGAGTTAAGGGAATGATAAATCACAAATCGATTTCCTTCGGCTTATTTACAAGTTATTGTAGTCCTCTTTTCTGGGGCAACAATACTAGCAAGGCAGAACAATTACAGTCTATTTATTCCCAGATTATATCTGCCTTCTAACATGTAGTACAGCAGTACGGAGTTGCTATACAATTAGCCAACTTATTAAGACATCAAAAATATCTTGACTGAATTCTTTATCATTAATTACACTATTTTCTGTTGTATCTAAGATTAAGAACTCGCTACTGTAACATATATTATACGACTCACTTCCTCACAGATAGAATCAGATCAACTATTCTGCATATGATACTATCAATAAAATAGTACAGAATGTATCTAAACTAATTGTAATCAATTAGGTTCAGACTAATTCAAAATTTAAGTACGTGTTCATTAATGTTTCCAAACTAAACTACTTTCTGTTTGTCTTTTAGGTATACACCATATAACTATACTCTCATCAGTGCGGAGCACCCTTGCGCAGCTCGCCAATAGCAGCGAGCAAATATCCCAGCAATTCACAGGGAGCACAGGGCGATAACAGCCAAGTATCACCTACGTGATTGATTCAACGCAAGTGCATCACTCAAACAAGTATTCACACGTGGGTGTTAGTTCTAGCAGAATCATAATTGCCTCTCTACTGTTATTTTAGTAAATTTAAATGATTAGTAATAGAGGCAGTGTATACGCCTTCTTACTTAAGACAACAAAATGATAATACTTATTTCCTTATTGCAAGGATCTATCATTCATTAATTGAAAATGAATTACATTGAATTAAAATTAAAATTGAAATCGAAATAACTAATAAAGGAAAAGAAACACCATTTCATAACCATCAGAGTTATACATACAACAAATAAATGATTATTAGTTAATTAATTAGCATTAGTGCTATAACTCATAAACTAAAGTGACACTATACTAGACTATACCAATGTGGTTGCTATACTATCTAAGTTAATATATAATACTTGAATATCTTAGAATTAGAAGGGTGACAGGTCACGCAACGTCACGCTGCAAGTCAATTTCCTTGACTTGCTTTACTACCTATTATAATCATCATTTCTGAAGCGATTATGCTATTAGATTCTAATAATAAGATCTATTTATTCCTAAACTATATTTACTTTCTAATATAGTACAACAGTGCGGAGTTACTATGCATTTAGCTAATCTATGTAATTCCTAGAATAGCTTAACTAAGTTCCTTGACACTACTTATAAACTACTACTATTTACCCGTAGTTTTATTTATACAACAGTAATTGTCTATTACGTAATACTGCGATTATTCATATAGCTTTATAATGTTTAATTTCATTTAACAATAAGTCTTGCGTACGTAGAGTAAACTCTCTATATTCTATGACAACATACAACTAATCCAACTGGTTGCACAACTCCTGTGTACACGTACACCAAGGAGGGCCACGCGCGAAAATTGTTATTATTATCAGTCACGAACAATTGTCTTTCATCAATTAGTTATATATTATTGGATAGTGGTATAAAGTGTATATTCCTATACACCATCCACCATCGAGACTCGCAGGCTTGTCTGCATTATTATTTGACTAGAAACAAGATCTTCATTGCCAGATTTACATACAATAACGGCGCAGAACACAACATCAACCATAGAACATTAATAAAAATGCATGGGATGCCGTTTCTTTATTAATAATAATATAAATATTATAGCACGCCCACATTTCATATATATCACTCCAGAGAGCCTCGACTCCAAGTTCATTCATACATTATTTTCAAATTGAAGATGTTGATGTGCTAATTATCAAGTAATAATCAAATGTTTCAAATACGTTATATGGTCCAAACCGTCTGATTAATTTAATTGTCAATAGTTTGACAGACTACATTGATGAGGTTAAAGTGTAACATAAATGTATCTTAGGTGTACAACACAGACGGCACACTACCAACCTAAAGTTGAACACGCGCGCACTGCGCACATACGACAATCTGTCCACTGCGCGTCTGCTTGATGATGACGTATTAAGCACCCAATCGTACCACCACTGATTTGAACACGCGCGCATTGCGCACAACTCAGAAAGATACTGACTGCGCAGCCCGCACTAAATATACACTTTACTGTACTTTACAGTTAACCGTATAAATAATTATTAATTACGATTTAAACTGCACGGTATGCAACTATTATCCAACAGTTTATCACATATCACACATATCACAGTACTCCAAACTGCGAAAGAAGTCTTTAGGAAAGCAAAATCAAGCAATCCAGCACTATCACACGAGGAAGAAGGACAGAGCTACCCAATGTTAATTGTCACTTTAAAACACTGTAAAGCATCAATCAGCGATTTCCTTTCGCAAATGAGTGCTTAATTAGTCGCCACACTAAATAAACTAAAGTCAAAATAGCGTACTTGTACCTTCAATGATATATTACACGCAATGAGGTGCCACGTGGATGTCACTAGGGACGGGAGAGTCTGACCACAGAAAATTGTTAATAATTAGCATTAACAGCGTCACACAATGACACCCACACAATATATGATGCACTAATTTTCACTTTTTCGAAAGTAGGGTTTAAATGATTCCCCACGTCACGAAACGTCGAAAAAACTCGTTTTCAAATTTTCCCCCACTAAATCGACATTTAGTGGGAGATAGTCTCATTTCACTCTCAACCTAACCTAACCTAACCTAACCTAACCTAACCTAACCTAACCTAACCTAACCTAACCTAACCTAACCTAACCTAACCTAACCTAACCTGACCAATCCTGACCAATCCTGACCAATCCTGACCAATCCTGACCAATCCTGACCAATCCTGACCAATCCTGACCAATCCTGACCAATCCACGTTAGAAGGCTGGCGCGCACGAGCGAAGACTTCCAATCACGTGCGAAGAGTATCACGCATTCGCGAAGACTCCCAATCAATCACGTGCGAAGACAGCCGCGCATGAGCGTAGAATTCCAATCAGGTGCGAAGACTGCAGCGCATGCGGGAAGGCTCCTAATGACGCGCGAAAGCTATCACGCATGCGCGAAGACTCCCAATCACTTTCGAAAACTGCCGCGCATGCGAGAAGACTCTCAATGACGCGAGAAAGCTGCCACTCATGCGCGAAGACTCTCAATCACGTTCGAAGACTGCCGCGCATGCGAGAAGACTCCCGATGACGCGCGAAGGCTATCACGTATGCGCGAAGACTCCCAATTACGTGCGAAGACTGCCGCGCATGCGAGAAGACTCCGAATGACTCGCGAAGACTGACGCCCATGCGAGAAGACTCCCAATCACGTGAGAAGACTGCCGCGCATGCGAGAAGACTCCGAATGACTCGCGAGGAATGCCGCGTATGCGAGAAGACTCCCAATCACGTGCGAAGACTGCCGCGCATGCGAGAAGACTCCCAATGACGCGCGAAGACTGCCGCGCATACGAGAAGACTCCCAATCACGTGCGAATACTGCCGAACATGCGAGAGGACTCCCAATGACGCGAGACAGCTGCAACGCACGCGCGAAGACTCCCAATCACGTGCGAAGACTGCCGCGCATGCGACAAGCCTCCCAATCACGTGCGAAGACTGCCGCGCATGCGAGAAGACTCCCAATAACGCGCAACAGCTGCCACGCACGCGCGAAGACTCCCAATGACGCGCGAAGGCTATCACGTATGCGCGAAGACTCCCAATCACGTACTAAGACTGCCGCGCATGCGAGAAGACTCCCAATCACATGCGATGACTGCCGCGCTTGCGAGAAGACTCCCAATCACGTGCGAAGGCTATCCCGTATGCGCGAAGACTCCCAATCACGTGCGAAGACTGCCGCGCATGCGAGAAGACTCCCAATCACGTGCGAAGACTGCCGCGCAAGCGAGAAGACTCCCAATGACGCGCGAAGGCTATCCCGTATGCGCGAAGACTCCCAATCATGTGCGAAGACTGCCGCGCATGCGAGAAGACTCCCAATCACGTGCGAAGACTGCCGCGCATGCGACAAGCCTCCCAATCACGTGCGAAGGCTGCCGCGCATTCAAGAAGACTCTCAATGACGCGCGAAAGCTGCCACTCATGCGCGAAGACTCCCAATCACGTTCGAAGACTGCCGCTCATGCGAGAAGACTCCCAATGATGCGCGAAGACTGCCGCGCTTACGAGAAGACTCCCAATCACATGCGAAGACTGCCGCGCATGCGAAAAGACTCCTAATCACCTGCGAAGACTGCCGCGCTTGCGAGAAGACTCCCAATCACGTGCGAAGACTGCCGCGCATGCGAGAAGACTCCCAATGACGCGCGACAGCTGCCACGCACGCGCGAAGACTCCCAATCACGTACTAAGACTGCCGCGCATGCGACAAGCCTCCTAATGACGCGCGAAGACTGACGCGAATGCGAGAAGTCTCCCAATCACGTGCAAAGACTGCCGCGCATGCGAGAAGACTCCCAATCACGTGCGAAGACTGCCGCGCATGCGAGAAGACTCCCAATGACGCGCAAAGGCTATCACGTATGCGCGAAGACTTCCAATCACATGCGGAGACTGCCGCGTATGCGAGAAGACTCCCAATGACGCGCGAAGACTGCCGCGCATGCGAGAAGACTCCCAATGACGCGCGAAGGCTATCCCGTATGCGCGAAAACTCCCAATCACGTGCGGAGCCTGCCGCGCATGCGACAAGCCTCCCAATCACGTGCGATGACTGCCGCGCATGCGAGAAGACTCCCAATGACGCGCGAAGGCTATCCCGTATGCGCAAAGACTCCCAATCACGTTCGAAGACTGCCGGGCATGCAAGAAGACTCCCAATGACGCGCGAAGGCTATCACGTATGCGCGAAAACTCCCAATCACCTGCGAAGAATGCCGCGCATGCGAGAAGACTCCCAATCACCTGCGAAGACTGCCGCGCATGCGAGAAGACTCCCAATGACGCGCGAAGGCTATCCCGTATGCGCGAAAACTCCCAATCACGTGCGGAGCCTGCCGCGCATGCGACAAGCCTCCCAATCACGTGCGATGACTGCCGCGCATGCGAGAAGACTCCCAATGACGCGCGAAGGCTATCCCGTATGCGCAAAGACTCCCAATCACGTTCGAAGACTGCCGGGCATGCAAGAAGACTCCCAATGACGCGCGAAGGCTATCACGTATGCGCGAAAACTCCCAATCACCTGCGAAGAATGCCGCGCATGCGAGAAGACTCCCAATCACCTGCGAAGACTGCCGCGCATGCGAGAAGACTCCCAATGACGCGCGAAGGCTATCCCGTATGCGCAAAGACTCCCAATCACGTGCGAAGACTGCCGCGCATGCGACAAGCCTCCCAATCACGTGCGAAGACTTCCGCGCATGCGAGAAGACTCCAAATGACGCGCGAAGGCTATCCCGTATGCGCGAAGACTCCCAATCACATGCGAAGACTGCCGCGCATGCGAGATGACTAACAATGATGCGCGAAGACTGCCGCGCTTGCGAGAAGACTCCCAATCACATGCGAAGACTGCCGCGCAAGCGAGAAGACTCCCAATCACGTGCGAAGACTGCCGCGCATGCGAGAAGACTCCCAATCACGTGCGAAGACTGCCGCGCATGCGAAAAGACTCCCAATGACGCGCGAAGGCTATCACGTATGGGCGAAGACTCCCAATCACATGCGAAGACTGCCGCGCATGCGAGAAGACTCCCAATGATGCGCGAAGACTGCCGCGCTTGCGAGAAGACTCCCAATCACATGCAAAGACTGCCGCGCATGCGAGAAGTCTCCCATTCACGTGCGAAGACTGCCGCGCATGCGACAAGCCTCCCAATCACGTGCGAAGACTGCCGCGCATGCGAGAAGACTCCCAATCACGTGCGAAGACTGCCGCGCATGCGAGTAGACTCCCAATGACGCGCGAAGACTGCCGCCCATGCGAGAAGACTCCCAATGACGCGCGACAGCTGCCACGCACGCGCGAAGACACCCAATCACGTGCGAAGACTGCCGCGCATGCGAGAAGACTCCCAATCACGTGCGAAAACTGCCGCGCATGCGCGAAGACTCCCAATGTCGCGCGAAGACTGCGGCGCATGCGAGAAGACTCCCAATCACATGCGAAGACTGCCGCGCATGCGAGAAGACTCCCAATAACATGCAAAGACTGCCGCGCATGCGAGAAGACTCCCAATCACGTGCGAAGACTGCCGCGCATGCGACAAGCCTCCCAATCACGTGCGAAGACTGCCGCGCATGCGAGAAGCCTCCCAATCACGTGCGAAGACTGCCGCGCATGCGAGAAGACTCCCAATCACGTGCGAAGACTGCCGCGCATGCGAGAAGACTCCCAATGACCCGCGAAGACTGCCGCGCTTGCGAGAAGACTCCCAATCACATGCAAAGACTGCCGCGCATGCGAGAAGACTCCCAATCACGTGCGAAGATTGCCG